AATCTTGCCTTTTACAAATATTACAAAAGGATTTTTATCCAATGATTTGTTTGGATGTTCAGATTATTGCTGTTGATTTCATGTGTGTAGACAGTTCAATCAAAGAACATGTGGGTTTCTTATACTTGCTTTCTGTTCGTTTTAGGATATATTTGGAACAGATAAATTCTCACAGTTTTGATAGATATTGAGATAAATTATCACAGTTCTCTAAAGAGAAATTAGTTTCTTTCTTTAGCTCTTAGTTTCACAAACTCATTAATTTCTCTTCGTGAGACATTGTGTTCAAGTACATCGTGAATTTTTATTAAAAAATTATATTATAATCAGTATATATATACTATTTAAGTAATAAAATATTATTTTTCACTAAAAAAATCCACATCCAGAGGGTTTTTCTATAGCATTCAACAACAATAATTATCTTCAGGGCCAAAAAAAAAAAAGGAAATCACTAAAAATTTGCAGTAGCCAACAATGGATGACGCAGATCACATGGAATCATCACTATACGGTCAGTGATAAGGCTTTATACTGACAACCTCTTCATGGGCCAACTTGGAGTATTCATCACTTACTGCTAATCAAACCAGATCTAAAATTATCAGAAAATTTTGTGCCCTAAAATAAAGTAGTATGGTGTATGATTATTCCCTTTTTGTAAGCCATATCTCTGTTTAGGGTCCTTAAATAATATGCCTAATCTCCCTATCACTCAACTTCTGTTCTGTTTATATATATATATATATATACATATAAACTGTTCCTATATACATGCTTCTTTCCAAGCACAACACTACCAACTCCCTTCTTCCACACACATGTTCTCTTGAGACGACAATCCAAGCAACAGTACAAGACAACATACTATTGTTTGGACTTATGATTCCAACGCCATATTGAGCAAAAACCCACCTGTCAACCCAGATGTTATCGTGTAGCTCCTAAGTACAGGTCAGATGGTTCACCCCATTGGTCCCCATCAGTTTTTTTGTCAAATAAAAAGAATTTTTTGACAAACTTGATGTGGCTTAGCAAAAATCTGAATAAGAATGATGATATTTAAGGGATTGAACCACCTATTATACGCTAAATGAGCACATAATGATTTCACTCAAAGTTGTAATGCCCATAGGGCACAAATGGCCAACAATCTAGAATTGACCATGACCCAGAAGCTTCATTGACTTGAGAAGCAAGCCATTAAGATTATACCAACCTGATATTACAGACCGCTGGGATGGAATGGCCAGAGCGTACTTGTGAGGAGCTCTGGAAGCCAATAACTTCTCTTTTGGTAATGAGTACGTAAACAGACTGTCTAATAAGAGAAGAATCAGCTGCATCTGTGACAATAATCACTGCAGAGGCTGAGACATTTCAAGCCAAATTGCTTTCTCAGATACTAAGACTCAAGCCGCTGTAAGATTGCATTTGCTGATGCTAGAGCTCTAAGAACAACTTCATATTCCTAAGCTACCGTTAAGAAGCTTTTGCCCTGTCTCTAGTGCCTCCCCAGTTCATATTCCTGGGTATTCTCCCAATTTCACAGAGTTTCCATGCCCGCACAAAAACCATAAACTGCCCCTCATTAGTCAAGTCTTGCTGCTTTCCCTTTCTCTCTCAGGCACTTATTTGCAAAAAGAGTATTTACATTCTACAACATAAGAATTGGTTTTAGGCCATAATCAAGGTCATACCAACACAAGAATATTCATTTTCTGTCTTCTACAGGAACAAGAAAAGGAAAAAAAAGTGAAGGAGAAGACTGCTGCTATATAAAGGCTGGAGATTGATTTCACGTGTTCTTCGCAGTGAATATATAAAATTCAATGAACTAAATCACACAGCCAGAAAATAAAAATAAAAAAAGTTCATCTGGAGAAGGATGCTGGCCTCAAATTGGCATCCAAGGAAAAATAGTTCAAAGACTAATAAACCTATCTTAACAGCCAAAAGTTTAGAAGATCCACTTTGCTTCACCAAGTTGACCAGCATTTTAACAAAGTGTTTGGCCTGAAAATCTCAAAGAGAGGAAGGAATAGCAGAAATATCATCATCTAGCTTTGATTTATCTCAAGACCAATCTACTATGAGAGAGGAACTGATAGAAAGCACAATGATCAACAAACACCATACAGATACTAACTGCATCCGGATACAAAATATTGAATAACAACCGCAAGATATTCCTTATAACATTTCAACTAAGAGAACAGTCTAAACCCAGTTCATTATGTTTTTGAAATGTGTAAAACATACAGGATTTTTGAGCTTTTAACATACAGAAGAAATGGACAAATTAGTAATAGCACTTCAAGAAGACTGAGACCAAGTTTTTCGCCAAGAAAGATTAGTCATTCATAGAGAATAACAAAGAAATCACCTTCCCCACGCTGCTGCAACCACTAAAACATGAGTTCAGTCTCAATTTTGGCTTATACTCAACACCTTGATCTCACCAAGTTCCGAACTTTGCACCCGAAAAATGACCGAATTTGCTTAAATCCAAATCACCCTCTTCCTACTGGCAACTGAAGTTTTCTTCCCCATCTTTCAAATTTCAAGCTTGAATCAATAACACCACAACCAAAATACACCCAACAAGACAAGAACTAATTGCTGCTCTTACCACAATTACCCCAAAAGAGAATTACCAAATCATCCAATCCGAGTATAACCCGTTTGCCGCAATGGCTGGCTGCCAACAACCGAAAGCAACCCTCCTTCAGCTGCACTTTCCTCATCAAGAAACAAATCATCAGTGCCTCGAACAGCAGCATGAATGCCAACAAGAACCACTCCAATGATCAACGAGACAAGCACATTCAGACCCACATGAGTGAAAACCAAAGCAACCACAGTCACTATACTCAGAACACCCAACACGACCCGGTCATCGAAAGTATGACCCATAATAACAACCGGATTATCTCGGAAGAAGTAAAAGAAGAACCAACCAATGAAAATAACCAAGAACACGATCATTGAAATCGGGTGCCATAGCAGACTGAGGAAGAGGATACAAAGCATGACCAGCGCGTAGTTCATACGGAAGTAATTGATATTATACCTGATACGGCTAATTGCTTCGGCGTAGTTGAAGGGTCGAGAAATGGCGCTGGGGTCGAGAAGCTCCTTCCATGGCCGGAGCGTGGCGATCAGCGATTGCGTTGTCTGCCTGGCGCGTGAGACAAAAGAAATCGGAGAAGATGTCGAGGCGGAAGGGGATTGCACATTGGTTGTAGTAGCCGCGGTGGCCGGAAGAGTGCCGTAACCGGCGTCTGATTTTAGTGACATCGAAAAGGTTTTCGTCGATATAAAAGAAAATAAAATTGGAGAAAAAAGAATGAGAAGAAAAGAGAGATAGATCTGATGGATTCAAGCAGGGAGAAAGAAAGAACCTTAATAGAAATTGCAGGGTTTGGAGGGGAGGAAGGAAGAAGATGAAGAATTGAAAGGATTCACAGATTGGGCGGTCAAAGGTGTGAGTCCTGAAATTGACAGCGTGGGCCAGCCGGATTAACGGCCCAAATTGCTCCACAAAATCGAATTTCCGTATTTGATTAAAGTACAAATTAATATCTCAAAATTGCTATTTAATGACGTCAAAAATTAGAAAAAGAAAATCAGATAATATAAATTACTAATTTACATTTTTAATGCATGCAAATTTTATTTAATTAATAAAATATATAATTTTTTTCTTTTTTTAAAAAATAATTACCATAAATTAAGGTGATAAAAAAAAAAAAAAAAAAACTGAATTTCCAGCAAGCCTCTTGGCAGAAGCTCAGCATTCTTCCATTGATAAAACAAAGTTGAATGCATCAACTATATAAATATATATATATATATATATATATAGCTTAGCAACTGAGGTTGGATAAATTACAGGAACCCAATAGCACTGAGATAAGCTTACAGTTTCTCACAAGAAATGGAAAAGAAAATAAGATCAAACAAAATTTTCCAGTCTTCTTTTCGCTATTTCATTCTCTCTCTATCTCTCTCTCTCTCTCAAACATGGCGGAAACTACGATTTCTCCTTATCTGTGCCATGAAACTTCCTCCCAGCTTCAACAGCTTCCCTGTAAGAACAGCGACAGTAAGTAGTCGAAAAAATGTAACGTCTCACAAAGGTTCAATAACCATGAAGCAACTCATACTGCAGTAAGATTATCAATCATGTACAGCCCCAAAAGTTTGGAGCTTTAATGTCTTTTCCAACGTTTCCTTATAAATTGATAGATATCTTGAATATAATGAAGTTCCACTCAGAGAATTTACTGAACATAATTTGTCGTTATTAGAGAAATATATAAATGGAGCATCATCATCATCATCATCATCCCAGCTGCTTCACGAGCAAGGAATGCTTTTCCAGTATGAGTTGATTTTAACTCTTCTTATACCAACAAACTTTTCTCTGCTCCCAAACATAACTCATAAATGTTAAAAGGAACTTTCTTTTATTTGCTTCTTTTTTATATTTTTACATGATTTGGTAATTATTTACAAATTTCATAATTAGTTGCATGACTAATTAGTTTTTCTTTAGAAATATAATATGGAGAGTGTGATCACAAACCTAAAAGCACTTATAAGCTCCTTATTTTCCGGGTCAAGCTTCACACCCTCATAGAAAGCATTGGCTGCTTCATCAAACCTCTGAAATTTAAAAAGCAAATAGAGTATGTCAAACTACATAAATCAAATTAATAACCTAATTAAAGCACTAAGGGAGAGAGAGAGAGAGAGAGAGAGCATGCCTGCAACAGCTGCAAAGCTGCACCTTCCCGATAGCAAGCTTTGGGCCAATCTGGTCTTAGTTCTCTGCACGCCTTTGCATCAACCAATGCACGCTCAGCTTGGCCAAGACGTAACCAGCAAAGGCTTCTATTTGAAAAAAATGTGGCATCGGTGGGATCTAGATCAATAGCCTGTATACACATCATCAAACAAGAGAGTAGTCAAAATTTAGAAGCTCCATTACCACTACTAAAAATTGACAGTGAAGACACAACCAAAGGTGTCTAAGAACTGATCAAGGGTTCCGGTATCTAATAACCTTCATTGACAAGGAAGTTTTACGGAAGATATTTACTCATTTAACTCCAATCACCCACTTATAAACCAGATTTATTACTTACAAATAATTAGAACTGATTACCAGAATCATTACCATGCAGCAGATTAAGATACTAAATCCCAAGTAAAAATAAACATTTTGGGTGTCTTCTCTTGAATTTCAAGGATCAATCTCAATCAACTCATGACATTTGGGACACAGTTGTACTCCTTGCTTCCCCTTTTGCTAAGGACCACGGTTTTTTTAGAGGATGTCTCTATCCTGCTAGAAAATAATTGGGATGGTATCTTTATGGAAGCTTCTCTTTTCTGCTTTTTTATTTCTCTTTACCAGCTAAAGAATCCCTCAGCCTCTCCTCATTGTTTGTAATACATTGCTCCCTTCTAAGTAATGTTTCTTCCTTTACGAAAAAAGAGCGAAAACCATGTGTCTTTTTGGAGGGTTTAGTCCGGACTTCGACCGAGAAGGGGCATAAGGCATCTGGGCCTCCAAATTTCATTATTGTTCAATATAAATAGAAAAGCTGAACCTTTGGTAGAATGCAAAAAAATATTTTCCATGCAGAGAGAACAGTATAAATAACTAGCATACCTGAGTATAAGCGTCTATAGCCATATGGTAATCCTTTCTTTCGAAAGCCTCATGTCCTCTTGATTTTGCTTCTACAGCTTTCTTCTTTGCTTCAGGTGATACCTTAACAGTTAAAACATGTTCTAAGTGTTATAAGTTTGGAGATCATGCACTATTTGACATGTTATGTGGTTTCCAATCAATTAAGTTCTCCACTTTTTTTGGTTACCAAACTGTAAAAATTAATCCAGTTAGATAGGAAAAAGACTAAAGCTCCTCTAAGAATGGCGTTTTTCGCATGGGAAGCTTGTAGAGGAAGTATGCTGACTATAGACATGTTGATGAGGAATGGCAGATGCATGGTTAACCGATGTTTCATGTGTAAAATGGATGCAGAAACATGTAATCACTTACTGTTGTGGTGCCCGCTGGTCTACAGTTTATGGACAATGATATATGAATTTTTGAGGATAAAATGGGTTATGGCAGGATCTGTTAAAGATGAATTGTGAGCATGGGCAGGGCTGTGTAAAAAGAAAAAAAACTTAATGCTTATCCCTATCTCGGTGCTGCGGGTTGTGTGGCAGGAGAGAAATAGTATAGTCTTTGAAAGGGTTGAGAAAGAATTTAACAATATTAAGAATAGATAGATTTATACATTTGTTTCTATATTTTTGGGACATGATATTAATGACTTAGATGATTTTGGGATGGTAATGGACCAATTGATTGAGATGTAAATGCTTTGTAAATGGGTCGTACTTCTTTGGTACCGTTGATATAATATTACATTTTTATTTTAAAAAAAAAGATAGAAAAAAGAAATCAGAGAAAATATATCTCATGGGTTTAATCGAGAGCTGGAACCACCTTAGGGGATCCAATCAACTAGAGGAATTTGCCATGTTAAGGCAAAACCAGAATACGTAAAGCTGGTATAAAAGTTGGGTGCTTCAATATATCATATCTGGTTGAACGGGGAAGTACCATTCGTGACAAACCAAGTTAGATAACATCCAAATCCTAGATCCTACAAGAAGCAGTTAAACTACCAGCAAAATGAAACAAAGTTTTAGGTCTTATTTGCAAAATGAGAATGAAAAGATCAGCACCAGAACTTTGTTGGGTTTTATTTGCAAAATAATGCAATGTCATGCTAAATTTGCACAGTTATATTAAGGTTATAAAATTATTCCATTCTCTAATTATGAAATCTCAAGGTAGTTAACTGTCACAATAAGATTTTATTTTGAAATAGACCAGACCATGAAGGGTAAAAATGTAAGTTATCCCGGATTTTGGAGTGAGGTTGTAATAATTAGTAAGTAGGAATCAATCAACATAAGAGAAAAGCCAAGTAACACAGTTGAAGTTTTGGATACTTGGTTGAGTAGAGCATGCTATGCAAAGCCTCCTCTCTCCTTATGCAACAAATTTCAAGCTTCAAAACTTTGGATTGCTTTTGTTGGGAAAAAAGTTTCACATTAACATAATCCTTCCTATTTCATTGCTAGAGAACAGTGCTATAAAAAAGCGGAATTCTTCATCTAATTCTGCATGCTTTTGTCGAATTTATCAGTAAAAAAATTAAGAGCCTAATATTTTATTGTAAACTACAATGATAATACACAACACAATAATCTGAACCAAATTTCAAAGGCTAGAAGTTAAAACAAGTTCTAGTTGTTACCCAGACAAAAGCAGACATAAAAAGGGTACTGATAAAGAAACATTTTTAAAAGATGTAGAATATAAATGCAAAACAACCAGACATGTTATTATAGGGTAAGATTGGCACCTCAGGAAGATCCTTCTTGGGTCCTGTTGCTTCCTGGGATTGGACTTCCTTCAGATTTCTGATTCCTTCCTGCAAAATTTATATCAGAAATCATCATTTACAATTAAACAAATCTTTCGTGTAAATACAAAAAAGAATTTCCACAAAATGTTTTCTGTAGCCAAACCTGGATGCTCATCAGACTGCAATTTTCTTTGTTTCCAAGTTTTTTTTCTATGCCTCAGTTTGCTTATGGTGGCAATAGTCAAATTTGTTTATTATAAAAGATAGCACAACAGAAGCTCCTGTAAAAAGAATGCAAGAGAGCCTTCTGCAATAATGAACTCAAGAAAAGTCTCATTTTTCACTCCACTCTCATATTAATATCATGCTCTCAATCCAAATGGCACAAGAAAGCAAATGAGAAGTGCTTGCCGCCAATGAGACTTGTTGAATGACTTCTAAAAATATAGATAGCTGCAGTATACTGGAATCATTAGTTTTAATTCGAGAAGACATATATTTCTACCAAGTTTTTAAGGTTGTTTAGTTCAATTCCATTCAATTTCTACTATATTCCTTTCTAACGTTCATATTGCTATAATATACTGAATAAATTTACAACCTGTTGTTTGCCAGTTTCAGACTGCATATATTCAAGAATTCCATCAACTGTCCACTCTGTAATGGTCTCAACCTTTGATGTCAAGGGAAAAAGGATCTCAACAACCTTACGATTGCCTCTTCCAGCTGCAACCTGTATTGGCTTTTGACCATCCTGTGAAGAGAAGAACACTCATTAATTGCTCCAAATGATGGATGAAACCCACAACTACTTTTAAACAAATCCGGCATGTCTCTGAAAGTTTTAACGTCTTCTCTTTGATACATGGCAAGCAATTAAGTATTTCACTATAAATGTGGAACAATGAGAACTCCTAAAACCAAAGAAAGAAATTCAGAATCATGATAGAAAACTAAAATGCAGGGGATTTGTGCCAACATGCTTTTAGGGAGAAAAAAGGAGCATGCAGAAGATATAATCTATAAATTTCTGCCTTGTGACTTTTGTCATGCTTCAAGTCTGACATCAACCTTGATTAGCACCTACTGATAGGTCAGCCTTGAATACGGCAGGTTATGGGATAGAATAAATGGAGATGTTCCACATGTTCAAAATGGCTTCTCCAAGCTCTAATTTAAAATAGTTCTATGAAAGCTGTTTTTCTTAGAAGTCATACTTTAAATAAGTCACCATGACAACCTCTTCATCCGACTTAAATTTGAGCCTTCTGAGATTCTTGTATCCCTTGGAAGGAACAGAATTTATCATATGTGAAAATTACACCAGTTTCTTGCAAACAATTTTTTAGTAGATGGTACTTAAACTCAGAACCAGAAGATTCATCCAAGCTTAGAGTGAAGAAAATAAAAATCAGGACAGCAAAAAATTGCTGGGAATAAATGAATACTCAAGGAAAACCACCAAAAATGAACATCCATGAATATTTTCAGGCAACAGAAAAGAGAAACAAGGAATCAATTAACCCTACACTAAAGGAGTTGTTTCTCCAGAACTTAGTACAGTTTGCAGCAAACCTCATATTTGGCTAAATAGGGACAACAAATAATTTCATGTGAAGATATACGACTAAGTGAAAGCTTCACCTCATCTATTACATTAGGATCAGCTCCAGCTTTCAATAAGCAGTTTATAATTTCTGGACTTCCATTATCGGCAGCAATGTGTAAGGGAGTTGCTCCACCAGCAGTAACGTTCACATTTCCACCAGCCTGCATATATTAAAATCTAGGCAGTGCCGCACATTTAAAGATAGTACAAAATCGCACAGGATCAAGATTGCACGAGTGACTATACATAATATAAATAAATACAAACCACACATGCCCCTAATAGCAGAGGCAAAATTTAGCCATATTTTAGCATATAATACTAGAGCTACCACAAAGTACGTGAATAACCAACTTCTTTATGCTGCTTATAACTTCTTGATTTCAAAAGGTTAAAACTGTGTATAGAACAAGCATCAAAATTTCATTTTGTAATTTGCTAGTAGGGCCAGATAGAAAAACACACAATTAAGAAGTTTTCTTAAATATAAGAAAGGAAAAATACTTGATTTAGAAAAAAAGGAGAAAACATGGTGGGAGGATAGGGATCCTGCTAACTAGAGAAATTAAACTGAGGAAAGAAAGAAAACTGGAAAACATCAAGATCGAAGTGCCACTCAATTTCTTTTCATGATAGAAAAAGGTAAACCCTGAACAAGCAAACAATCTGAAAAATTAACAAATACATAACGAATTTGGTTAATCTTCTAACTATACATTTTAAACGACAGAATTAAAGCAATTTATTCATAAATCAAAAACCAAATTGTTGAGCGAAAACATAACAATACAAGACTCTCATTTAGATAGACAAAATCTGACACCACCATCAAGCTTTCCAATGCACCAACCTCCACAAGGAACTGAAAAATAAATACTGGCTGCAGTTCACAACTTTAGAGAAGTTGTTTCAAATAAAAAAAGAAAATCTGTAGTTGAGATTCCATTTTTCAGTTCCCCAAAGAGCAATCAGCAAAGCAATAATAGAAAGATGTATGAAAATCTTCTTTCCCATCCAATCTTTAAGATATATCTTTTGAAAGCCAGGAACCTATCATTGTTCAATCAAAGAAGCTCCCAACATTAAGCAAATAAGAAGAAACAAACCTTCACCAACAAGTCCAAGCATGCTAGAGAACCAGCTGCCACAGCTGACAATAGCGGAGTGATATTATCTTCAGTTTCTGCATTAGGCTGCAAAAATTATCACCGATTAATGAAGTGGAAGGTAAAAAAAAACCTCAAATTGAATTTGGTTGTGATAAACGAAGCTTTCATAAATTGAAATAAGTGACACTGAGAATGGAAGTGAAATTCAAACATAGATCCCTTTTTAGGAAAAGTTTTGAAGGTGTAGAAAATGAGGATAAAGACAATAACAAGTATATGAATGCTTTAGAGGCCAACTACATCTTTGGCACAAAAATATTCTTTGCATCCTCTCTTTTGAACCCCCAGATGTTGAAGCCTCAGTTCTAACATGTTGCCAGGCAACTAAGGACTCAGTTGTCAGCAAATTCAGCAATCATGAGAAATTTATTACACTTTAACCTTCCAAAATAAAATCAGTACACATTAGATTTAATTTTTTAAAAAAACAAAAGGCTAATCCTCCTAGAAACAGCCAAACTACTTCCTCACAATTCCACAACCTTACTGGAGAGTGGAGACACAGAAAGCCAAGAATTGGTACAAGCAAGCTCAAACAAATTCTACTGACATAGCCGAGGATGTACAAACCCAAAGGACATCTGCACCCAGTTAAGACCTTTAAGCCCAAACAAGGAGCACATAGGAAGCATGAAACCTGTTGAGGTCCTAATCCCGTGACCAGCTATGCCAAAGGATAACGTTTTCTCCAGGAGAAAGAATTGATAGTCAAAATAAAATGATTTTACCATCCTAGAAAATGAAGAATCCAAGCTTTGCCATCCAAAAGGAATGACCTAAGCCGGTATCTAAAAACGTATGTGAAAAATTTAGCTTTTATAACCTTCCAACCAAATATATACAATTTCAGACATAAAAGTTCCTTTCCAAATCCAAATCTTCACCTTGAAGATTTCTCTGTAAAAGGAAGAATGTCATAATTCATTAATTAATCAGGAAATACTTACAAAAAATAACTAAAAGATAGATAGGATACTGAAAGAAAACAAGAAAAAAGGAACAAGAGATTACATTAGCATGGTGCTCTAGTAGAACTTTTACTGCATCTTGCTGGCCATGACCAGCAGCCCAGATCAGAGGAGTACCAGCATCACTTTGTGAATCAACCTCAACATCTCTAGAAAGTAATTCTTTCAGCAACTCAATATTTCCTGTGGACAACATTAGAATGCAGAGAATAAAATTTCAAGGCAGCAAATGACTGAAAAGCTCAGGATTTGAAGATAAGACTAGTAGTTGCATTTGTCATAAAAAAGATGCTACACGAATGGAGATGCAATAAATAATTCTTGAGCTAATCAGAAGCTTAAGCTTCCAGTCATATCTTAAATAAAACCATCATAAGCTATCCCAAAAAGAGAGAGAAGTGCCTATAAACCCCACACAAACCCAGACACCAATGACAAGGAGAAAAGAAAGAGAGAAAGGAAACCTATTCCTGCAGCATGATGCAAGGCAGTGGCCCCTAAGTCACTGGGTATAGCAGGATTGGCACCATGGTCAAGAAGGTACTTGACAGTGTCTGCATGTCCTTGTCGGGCAGCATGAAGAACAGGAGTTTCACCTGCATGTATGTAACAGTTCTTGTAGTTAAACAAATAAGTATTGCATATAATTAAAACACTTTGACAGGAGGAAAA